GATTTACTAATGGTATCTAGTAAATCTACCCAATTCCCAATAAAACTACTTTTAAGGTAGTGATTGTATGGACAGTAAATTTACTAGTCTTCTAGTGACTTTCACTAATTATTTTTCAGTGTTTCATAAAAATCTTTAAATATATTATTGATACTTTAGCCAGAAGATATAGGATGTATACTAGTACATGTTTATAGGCATAAAAATAGTACATTTTACAACCATACCATTACCATTAAAGTAACTGGTTTGTCTATTGTTAATTAACAATGTACAGTAATATGTAATAGAAATCATCAAAGGTACATAATAAATGATATTTAAAAAAATGTTTACAGTGAATACATAACAAATTTTATACCCCCCTCCCCCCGCTTGAAAAGTAGGAGGGTTTACTGTATTCGGTATGTCCGTCCTTCCGTCCAGGTGTACGTCCGTCCATCTGTCTGTTATGCTTTGGGGTAGTTATCTTTTATCTGCAACTCCTTTTATTCCACCAAGTGAAATTCAATGAAACTTTCACAGAATCTTTATTACATATTGCCATTGTGCACCTCCTATTTTACTTTTTTGATCCGACACATATTTTGGGTTTTCCAGTCACAGCAAAACATGGACTTTGCCATTATAACATACGGGAGGGGGGGGGGGGCGGTATCATTTAGTGAGTTCATTGCTCGCAAGACCTCTAGTTTTAATCTCGTCCTCTGTTGTATACAAAATAACAGTGCGATCAACAAAAAAAGGAAAAAAATCTTTGAAAAATGCATTATATGATCAGCAATACAATGTAAACCAATATGGTTTCTTATAGGTCATTAAAGATTGACGAACAAATAAAATAAAGATGGCGTCAATTCATCAACTTGCCGAACACCATATGACGTCATGCCGAAAAGTCCATCAGTATACTTTGATTTAAGGTAGTCAGATCAAATTCTAAATGATCACAAAAAAGTCATTAAATTTACGTTCATTTTGTCAGAAAATTTCTTCGAAGTTCATCATTGTAGTCCATTATATTATACACGGGAAAATGATCAGAAATATATTTTAAGGAAAGGCAAATAAAGGCAGCAGCAATGTATCACATTATAGGGGTAAACTTAATTGGCACCTTTGCGCCTTAAAGGGTGTCCATTGGGTCCTTTTTGAAACTTAAAACCGTTAAAGGCACTGTTGTGCCATAGTGCTCCAGGCTCCCCTAAATGACACAGTTCCTAGTTTGGGCGCTAAGAGCTTTCCTAATTAGACCAGAAAAGTTTCTGTATAATATCACATTATAGGGGTAAACTTGGCGCCCTGGCACCTAGAAACGGTGTCAATGGGCTCCTTTCTGACACCGGAAAACCGTTAGAGGCGCTCTTGCGCCAAAGTGTTCCAGGCTCCCCTAATTGGCACATTTCTAGTTTAGGCGCTGGGCGCTTTCTCTAAACCTGTATAGTATCTGTAAAATATCAAATTATATGGATAAACCTGGCGCCCTGGCGCCTAACACAGTGTCAATTGGGTCATTTTGACCTCGGAAACCGTTAGAGGCGTTCTTGTGCTAAAGTGTTCCGGGTTCCACTAAGTGGCACATTTCTAGTTTAGGCGCCTGGCGCTTTCCTAAGATTTGTACAGTATCTACATGTATATAATATCGCATGAACTTGGCGCCCTGGCGCCTAGAAACGGTATAAATTGGCCCTTTTGACACTGGAAACAGTAAGAGGCACTCTTGCACCATAGTGTTCCGGGCTCCACAAAGTAGCACTATTCCTAGTTTGGGCGCTAGGCGCTTTGTCTAGACCTGTATTATATCTGTATAATATCACATTATAGGGGTAAACATGGCGCCCTGGCGCCTAACAACGGTGTAAATTGGGTCCCTTTTGACACTGGAAAGCGTTAGAGGCGCACTTCCACCAAAGTGTTCTAGGCTACCCTAAGAGGCACTATTCCTAGTTTGGGCGCTAGGCGCTTCCTCTAGACTTGTATAATATCTATATAAAATCACAATATAATGGTAAACTTGGCGCCAAGGCGCCCAGAAACAGTGTCAATTGGGTCCTTTTTGACATCGGAAACCGTTAGACCTGTATAGTATCTACATGTATATAATATCACATAAACTTGGCGCCCTGACGCCTAGAAACGGTGTAAATTGGGTACTTTGTATGCGCCCGGATCGATAGATCCCGGGCGTATATTGTTTTTGTCCTGTCTGTTTGTCTGTTTATCTGTTTGTCTGTTTATCTGTTTGTGTGGCACATTTCAAGACTTCATATTTGGTATGCATACTCCACTAATAAAGTCCTTTCAAATGACATCAAGGTCAATGACCTTGTGACCTTGACTGTGGCCTATATGCTAAAAATATTTTTTCTGTTTGTCATAACTTTTGAACCCTGACTTCATATTTGGTATACTTACTCCATTTATAAAGTATATAATATCACTTGACTGTAAACTTGGCGCCCTAGGAGATAGGATATTCATATTTGGTATGCGATTAATTTCTTTCAAACCACACCGAGGTCAATGACCTTGTGACCTTGTCTGTGAAAAATATGCTAAAAATAGAAAGAACTTTGTTGCCGCCGGGCCCATAGTGTTTCACAAACACATCTTGTTGACACTGGAAACAGTAAGAGGCGCTCTTGCACCATAGTGTTCCGGGCTCCACTAAGTGGCACTATTCCTAGTTTGGGCGCTAGGCGCTTTGTCTAGACCTGTATAATATTTGTATAGTATCACATTATAGGGTTACACGTGGCGCCCTGGCGCCTAAAATTGATGTCAATTTGGTCCCTTTAGAAATCGGAAACCGTTAGAGGCGTTCTTGTGCCAATGTGTACCGGGCACCCCTTAGTGGCACAATTCCTAGTTTGTATGCTAGGCGCTTTCTCTGCACCTGTATAGTATCTGTATAATATCACAATATAGGCATGAACTTGGAGCCCTGGAGCCCAGAAACGGTGTACATTGGGTCCTTATGACACTGGAAACCGTTAGAGGCGCTCTTGCACCATAGTGTCCCGGGCTCCCGTTAGTGACACAAATCTTAATTTTGGGTATTAGGCGCTTTCTCTAGACCTGTATAGAATCTGTATAATATCACATTCTAGGGGTAAACTTGGCACCCTGGCGCCTAGAAATAGTGTCAACTGGGTCCTTTTCGACATCAGAAACCGTTAGAGGCGCTATTGTACCAAATTTCTCTGGCTTCCCCTAAGTAGCACAATCCTAGTTAGGGCGCCAGGCGCCGTCTCTAGACCCGTATAGTATTTATATATATCCGAGAATAGGGTTCGATTTGGCGCCCTGGCTCCCAGAAACGGTGTAAATTGGGTCCCTTTTGGGACCGGAAATCAACAGGGACGCTTTCAAGCCCTAATGTTACGGGCTTCCCTAAGTGGCACAATTCCTAGTTTTGGCGCCAGGCGCCGTCTCTAGACCCCTATAGTACCCCTATGTATCCGAGAATAGGGTTGGATTCGGCGCCCTGGCGCCCAGAAACGGTGTAAATTGGGTCCCTTTTGGGACCGGAAATCAACAGGGGCGCCTTTGAGCCCTAATGTTACGGGCTTCCCTAAGTGGCACAATTCCTAGTTTGGGCGCCCGCCAGGCGCCGTCTCTACACCCCTATAGTACCTATATGTATACGAGAATAGGGTTATATTCGGCGCCCTGGCGCCTAGAAACGGTGTAAATTGGGTCCCTTTTGGGACCGGAAATCAACAGGGGCGCCTTTGAGCCCTAATGTTACGGGCTTCCCTAAGTGGCACAATTCCTAGTTTGGGCGCCAGGCGCCGTCTCTAGACCCCTGTAGTACCTATATGTACACGAGAATAGGGTTATATTCGGCGCCCTGGCGCCTAGAAACGGTGTAAATTGGCGCCCTGGCGACCGGAAACAGGGGTGTAAATTGGGCTTCTAAGTGGCACAATTCCTTTTGAGACCGGAAATCTATATGTATATTAGAATAGAGGCGCCTGGCGCCCAGAAACGGTGTAAATTGGGTCCCTTTTAGTGGTCATGGGCTTTCCCCTAATGTTACGGGCTTCCCTGTGGCACAATTCCTAGTTTTGGCGCCAGGCGCCGTCTCTAGACCCCTATAGTACCTATATGTATACGAAAATAGGGTTGGATTCGGCGCCCTGGCGCCCAGAAACGGTGTAAATTGGAACCCTTTTGGGACCGGAAATCAACAGAGGCGCCTTTGAGCCCTAGTGTTTCTGACATCCCTAAGTGGCACAATTCCTAGTTTTGGCGCCAGGCACCGTCTCTAGACCCCTATAGTAGCTAGATGTATCCGAGAATAGGGTTGAATTCGGCGCCCTGGCGCTTAGAAACGGTGTAAATTGGGTCCCTTTTGAGACCGGAAATCAACAGGGGCGCCTTCGAGCCCTATTGTTCCGGGCTCCCCTAGGTGGCACAATTCCTAGTTTGGGCGCCAGGCGCCGTCTCTAGACCCCTATAGTACCTATATGTATCCGAGAATCGGGTTAGATTCGGCGCCCTGGCGCTTAGAAACGGTGTAAATTGGGTCCCTTTTGAGACCAGAGACCGGAGATCAACAGGGGCGCCTTCCTAAAGCCCTAGAATGTGTCCCGGACTCCCCTATAGAAACGGTGTAAATTGGGCCCCTTTTGAGACCGGTGGCACATTTCCTAGTTTTGGTGCCAGGCGCCCTCTCTAGACCCCTATAGTACATATATGTGTCAGAGAATAGGGTTGGATTTTGCGCCCTGGCGCCAAGAAACGGTGTAAATTGGGTCCCCTTTGAGACCGGATATCAATAGGGGTGCCTTCGAGCCCTAATGTCCCGGGCTCCCCTAGGTGGCACAATTCCTAGTTTGGGCGCTATGCTTTAATTAATTAATTCATAGTTATTGCGTCGGGTTCGAGAAACAGATTTTTCTAGTCGATAAACTTAAAATTTATGAATATTTTTGTTATTGGCCGCTAGTGTTATTGGCCGCTAGCTTGACTTAGGCCATGCGCTTTTCCAGACCGGATATGGAAGTGTAAATGTAAAAGTTCATGTCGGTCCGGTGTCTGGACCTTTCCAGTAACAACAGAAATGGGAGTTACAGTCCAACAAATAACCCCTGGGAATGGTATCTATATCAGAGGTTTTATTCTAGCTTCAAGGGACATTAAATGGCATGCTTTTCAAAACTAATCGTTAATTACGCAGTAAATAAGGTCAGATTGAAATAGATCTATCAAGTGGTGTAGATCTACCTGTGACTGTGTTTGTTGGCAAAGCCATAGGGGTTAGCAATAAATGCAGAATAGGCTAAGCAATAATCACATTGGTTATTGTCAATAAATATACTGCAGAGTAGTTTTGTAAGACTGTCGACTCTTGGACGCAATATTAATTGTTTTGACTCCTGTCTGACAGTAATGTAACATTTTGTTGTCTTTGAAAATATAAACAAGTCCAGTACAGTCTCTTGATACTAAGAGTAGACTTGACTGGTCTCCACACCAGCAATATCCGCACACTCATTGGACTTTGACATAACATTTATGGACTCGAATGATAAGATGCTCCTTAAATGCCTTATATATGCATTAAGTTCGATGGAACAAAATTCAGCGGAAAATTTGTGACCGCGTACATAGCGTAAATTAATACCACACGGAAAAAAAGTACTTCTACAGTATTTTGAAAGGGAACAGTGTGGCAGTTTTCCCTAAAATATGAATGCATTTTTATGAGTGTTTGTCAAATTTTCTATTTTTCTAAATTCTTTTCTTTCCAGGTCAGACATATCCAAAGAAAGGACAAGTAGTAGTTGTCCATTACACAGGTACAATTTTATTAAAGCAATTCTATATGAGATATTTTTAAAACAAGTTTTCAGAAAAGACTTGTTATTGAAATGATAAATATGGCAGACAGGTGGCTGCCAAATGCAGTAGGGTAACCCTTTTGTCTGGATAATCCTCCTACAGTCTTCAAGATAGGACCTTTTTTATTTTCCAGATAAAATTGTACATAAATCATGCCTATAATCTCAACATACTATTATAGCTGCATCAAATAAACTGGACTGCAATTTATTTTAGGGACATTAGAGAATGGACAAAAGTTTGATTCCTCGCGAGACAGGGGGCAGCCATTCAAATTTAGGATTGGTCACCAGGAAGTCATCCGAGGCTGGGATGAAGGTGTCGCTAAAGTAAGCCGCTATTTTTACATGCGTCTTGTAGGCTTGGATGCTGATCTGCATTGATGTCATTTTTAGCTCACCTCAACGAAGTTGGGGGGAGCTTATGTGATACCCTCGGCGTCGGCGTCCCAGGTTAAGGTTAAGTTTTTTGGAGCAGTTTTCTTTTTAATTACTTCTGAGTCCTATATTGATTAGACATGCATGGAATATGGTTCTAGTGTGTTTCATTGTACCAGACAGAGTTTCAGATGCTGCAATCTCAGCAAAGGAATGACCAGGTTAATGTTTTTGGAGCAGGTTAACATTTTTGGTGCAGTTTTTGGTGTAGGTTTCATTTCCAAGTAACTATAAGCCCTATGTTGACCAAACTTGCATGGATGATACATCTAAGGATGCATACTACCGGGCTTGCTTCGGATGCTGAATCTGACCTACATTTTCCGGTTGAGTGAACAGGTTAAAGTTTTTGGTGCAGGTTTCATTTCCAAGTAACTATAAGCCCTATGTTGACCAAACTTGCATGGATGATACATCTAAGGATGCATACTACCGGGCTTGCTTCGGATGCTGAATTGACCTACATTTTCCGGTTGAGTGAACAGGTTAAAGTTTTTGGTGCAGGTTTCATTTCCAAGTGACTATAAGCCCTATGTTGACCAAACTTGCATGGATGATACATCTAAGGATGCATACTACCGGGCTTGCTACAGATGCTGAATCTGACCTACATTTTCCAGTTGAGCTAACAGGTTAATGTTTTTGGTGCAGGTTTCATTTGCAAGTAACTTTAAGCCCTATGTTGACCAAACTTGCATGGATGATACATCTAAGGATGCACACTACCAGGCTTGCTTCGGATGCTGAATCTGACCTGCATTTTCCAGTTGAGCTAACAGGTTAATGTTTTTGGTGCAGGTTTCATTTCCAAGGAAGTATGAGTTCTTTAATGACCAATCTTGCATAGATGATACATCTAAGGATGCATACTACCAGGCTTGCTTCGGATGCTGAATCTGACCTACTTTTTGTGGATGAGTGAAAATATTAGTTTTTGATGCATGTTTCATTTCCAATAAACTATGAGCCCTATAATGAGCAAACTTGCATGGATGATACATCTAAGGATGCACACTAATGGACTTGCTTCGGATGCTGAATTCAACATACATTTTTCAGATAATAGACAAGGTAAAAGTTATGGTTGCAGGTCTATTTCCAAAAACTATAAGGCTTATATAACATTGTATAAACCAAACTTGCACAAATGCTGCATCAAGAGATGAAAACTCTCAAATTTGCTTTGGATTTTCATTATATTTTCATGAAGAAGAACTAGTTTAAATTTTTTATGTAGGTCTATTTCAAAGTATCAGATCAAAATTGCTTAAATTTTTCATTTTTGGAATGTATACTTTTTGTTGGTTAATTGTGTGACTTTGCCTTACTTAAAGACAACATTCGTTGAGGTGAGCTCTGTAATCTCTGATTACCTATGTTTCATTCAGTGATACATTTTCAATCCATGAATTTTTATGATGTACAAATGTTACTTTTTAGCTAATTTTTATGTAATTTCCAAATCATAAGTAATGTTGATCATTTTGATTGGTATACTTGTGACTGAATTTGTTTTTGTCTAGATGAGTATCGGAAAAGCGAGCTATTCTGACCTGTAGTCCAGACTATGGATATGGAAGCATAGGATACCCAGGTGTATATCCTTTAAACGTTACACTTAATG